AACTGACTCTTAATTATATAAAAGTACCTTGAATTTTTAAGTTTAATTAAAAAGCAAAATGCTCTGCGGACATGTTCATGAGAATATAATTTTTTGTGTAACGAAATCTATACAACACTTGTCAATCATATTGCATGTGTGTCTAAAAATAACATGTGGGCGTCCCACGGTCTAGACAGGTTTTGTGTCAGGCCCTATTTCAAATTAGGGCCTGAACTTCAGGTTAGTTGTTATTCTGATTGGCTTCCTGTATCTTCAGGAGTTCCCCAAGGATCCATATTAGGGCCCTTCTTTTTTATTATCTTTATTAACGATTTAACAGATGTTGTCAGTTCCTCCGAGATTGCATTGTATGCGGATGATTCGAAACTTTTTAAGGTAATAAAATCGCAGGACGATAGGCATGGTCTGCAAGCTGATTTACAACGTGTTCCTCTTTGGGCTGATGAATGGAAGATGGTTTTCAATTTGGATAAATGTAACACTATGTCCATATCACGTAAGAAGTTGACAGCTGATGTAACCTATACTATGAAAGGTCAGTACAGTTAAAGACCTTGGGATCACTGTTGCTGATGCCGTTTGCACATTTCCAACATTACTTCAAAGGTAAACAAAGTTCTCGGTCTGATTAAACGAGTATGTAAAGATTTGAAAGATCCCGATGCAAGGAAGACTTTATACTGTTCATTGGTCCTACCACAGCTTGAGCATTGCTCGCAGCTGTGGTCACCAATCCAGGTCAATCAAAAACTGCTCCTCGAAAACGTACAACGGCGTGCAACTAACTTTATCCTAAATTAACCTAAAGACATGACATACAAAGAAAGGTTATCGAAACTTAAATTAACTGTACTTCCTCTTGAGTACCGCCGGGATATCTGCAATTTAGTTTTTTCCACAAATGTGTACTTGGGCAATATCACTTAAACTTAGACATTTTTGTTCAAAGACTAAATACTTAATTAGATCACATGATCCTAATAACTTTGCAGAATTTAAATGTAGGACGAATTACTTCTATCACTCATATTTTCCAAGGGTTGTTAGAGCATGGAATTCCTTTTCTAGGGAAATTAAAGAGACAGATACTAATTTAGCTTTTAAAAGGGCTATTAAAGCCCATTACCTAACAAAGTTTGACTCTTATGAATTACCAACTTGCACTTAGCTTATATAATGTGTAGAGGCGGTTCAACAGTATTTAAACCGTCATGACACTATCAGAACCGCATGTTTCATTTACTTTACATAAATCTTAACTGTAGTTGTAGTCTACTGTAGTCCAGCTCAATTGGGGCTTTGCTCTGTTGGACCACCATTCATCTAATAAGTTCTTTGTATGTTTGCATGGCGATAAAATATATAATAGTTTTGTTTGTGGAAACACCACGTAAATTTATTACTGCAAAGCTTTCTATCCGTAAAGCCGGATCACAGAGTAGATAAGACATACAAAGACGTAACTGACCGTTGTAAACACTGCGGAAGATTACGTTATCATGTACCCACTTTTTTTCAGGCGACCGGGCGAAAAATGATCAACTGCGCGCGTGCTCAGCAAGTTTAAAGTGAGTCGTCATCAGGTCGTCATCCAATCAGATGCATGCATCTAGTAACTTGCCGAGCATGCGCACAAAAAAAGTGGGTACACTAGTTACGTCTCTGTATGTCTCTACTCTGTTGCCAGATCTTCATCAGTGCTAATAATATGTGACTTGTTTAATTCACACGCCCTTTTTATATACAAAAGTGTCGTGATCTGTTGGCTTGCGTCATTTGAAAATTTAATTAAACGGCACAACAACCACGTCATTTCAAACGTAGTGAAGTGATTCCAATTAACGCGCGCGCATCCAAGAGAAGAGAAATGAATTTTGCACATTAAAGAGATTCAAAGACATTAAAGAGATTAAAGAGATTAAAGGATCGAAAGCTTTGCAGTAATAAATTTACGTGGTGTTTCCACAAACAAAACTATTACACCGTTCATCTGTTAATATTTATACGATGATAAAGCTATTAAAACTAAACTAATCTATATGGCCCAACCTCTGGATACATATTCACTCATTTTGAAAAAATGTGCTTGCAAATGTTACATAATGTCTAAAATCAACAAATTCAAAATATAGGAATAGATTTACCAGGGGAGGCGCACATCCCATTTGACCTTGGCTAACACTGTGCAAACTCTGGTTTTTCAGCTCCGACACTGGCAATGGCTCCGGTTGCTTCACAACAAAGGGGATAAAGCCCATAACTACAGTAGATAATGGCGGATATTATTTGTCTCAATGTGTCCCCAAGGTACAGTAAGCTGACCTAGTGATGTGATGCAGCATATCAAAGCATGACTTATTGCAATTTGGCCATTTGCGGTAGCTGAAAATGGCGAAATAGTTTGACACGACAGATATGATTTCAATTATTACGGAACTCGCCGAACTGTATCACGCCACTCCCACAAACTATTTTTGCATGTTTACAATTCTAATTTTAAACAGCCAATCCGGTTCTTCGTAACAATTACAAATTTACAATTAAATATCGATTGGCTGTTTAAAATTAGAATTTATTGTAAACACGCAAAAAATATGTACCGGTACTGTAGGTGCGGTCATAGACGTGTGTAAGACAGAGAGTAGCAGCGATTTGGTGTAAGACCCAGAAAATATTTTGAAAAAATATCCCTCAGGCTCTGAAATTTATATTTTTTATAAGTTTAGTATCCCCCATGAGAATCCAGTATCCCACTTCTGGATACTGGTTAGGTAACATACAGTAAGTATTATACACCATCCCATCTAAATAAGTTTCCATTACACTCACTGTTACAAATTACAATAACAACAGGAGACTCAACTGTCAACAACTAAAACTCTATATGCTAGACCTCAATCAGGAAAGACTGATAGTATTCAAATTTCAAAAGATTTACACAAAGTGGTGACACACTAATCATAGCCGTAAAATCTTTGCATAAAATATAGCCATAAAATATTTGCTTTAAAAGATTTTACTGTGAAAAATATTACATTATTCAAGAAGCCGAAGCTACAAATGCTGCATTTCCCCAGGGAGACTGGGGATTTAACAAGCCCTCTTTCGAGAATGAAAAAAAGACAAGCTCAATTGTTTATAAATATTTAATCTTCACATTATATATATAATTATATATATATATATATATATTGTTTATTAAAGATGCTGTAAAGTCCGTTTGTTTACAATTTGAACTCAGTGCTACCGTTGCAAAATATGATGGCAAAATGTTGGGACGGGGGGGGGGGGGGGGGATTTTCCCATCATACCATATATCGAAAGTGCACGTTTTTTACCAATTTTTTTTAAAAACATCGAAATTTCCAAACAAAAAGGGCACCTTTGATGTTAATTCAGTATTTACAGCGACATTAGCTTGTACAAAACGAGCACTTTTCATCACTAAAAAGGGCACTTTTGGTCCTTTGAACAAATTTGGGGGGGGGCATGTACCCCTGTGCCCCCCCCCCGGTTCCTACGCCACTGCTTGTAAATGAATACAGACTAGAGATTCAATTCAAGAAAGTTTGGAAGGTGGGAAATATTAATAACATCCCAATGGTCGGGTCCCGACTATTGGAATGTAAGCTTGCCTGCGCAGAATGGACTTTACAGCATCTTTAAAGTTTGTTCCAGAAAGTGTTCATATTTGTGTATTGCTATTTTGTACAAGAGTTTTTATTAAATATCCACCAGTACCGGGGCTTTTAAAAGGGAATATCCATCAGTAGCGGTGAAAATGAGTTATTCCCTGCTATTGACTAGTGCATCACTTACATTAAATTGAAAATAGACGAAAAGTATGTTCTGTTTACATACTTTATACACTAAATTGAACAGTGGTATTTTCATTTCAATAGCTTTAAATAGAAGCGGATATACAGCAGGCTCCTGCAAAGTTACCATTGCTCTGGTATAAATGGTATTTAAATACTGCCATACTGGTGCCGTCTAATGTTGAAGACTAAAATGAGTTTAATCCATTGAGTCGCATTGCGTCCTGATGTGCCCTACTTTATTATTTTACTCTGTCTAACGCCAGACATTTTACTCATCAAGGGGAGAGCACTGGCTCTTGATGGGTTAACTGGCCTATCTGCTCATGTGTCTAGTTAATTTATCTGCTCATGTGTCTAGTTAAGTTATCTTTAATGGGTTTGGGTTCATTGATAATGCACCTATTTTGATTAGCAATTTGACCTAAATGACTTTTATTAATATAGTATTTTTTTTATTGTATTAATATAGTATTTATATTATTACCAATATTTATTGCCCAACAGTGGGGTATTTGATTGAGAATTTGCTCAAAAAATCAAATACCCCACATATGCCCGACCCCCCCCCCCCCCCCCCCGGCCCGGG